GAAGACATCCACCAAGTCGAGCAAGGTCACACGGACGCTGCTTTATTTACGCGCACCGTTACATGCACCGGCACACTTGACTTTCTTTGGTATTGGCCGCTGCCTAAACGGTACAAGGATTCAATTCGCAGCGAATTAACGAGCCGCACCGTTTTCTCTTCAACTGCCTTGCCGCCAAGTCGTCATCGCTAAGTCTTGCCTCTTCCGCTAAAGACAATTTTTTTTTCTCGCATCTGCGAACGATGCGCCCGCGCCTGCTACGATGCATCCAATCGGGCTCGGCTAAACTTGACCGAGCTGTCTCTTATCGAATTGTCCGCTCTTCTCTTATGCTGAGGCTTCGAGAGAGTCCAAAATCGACATCATAATTTATGATGCTCTGTCGTCAGCATCCACGTGAAATAGAGCGGATTTATGGGACTTTTCATAAGGATTTGTGGAAATGGCATGAGCTGTTTTATCGAAAACTACATTATTATCTTGGTGATAAGCGGTCAAGATATTGTTACTACTACTACTACTACATTATCATCACGATCTAATGAATAGTATTTCCTCTATTTCAATATAAAATTGAAATTAATTAATCGATATGTCGTGGGGGGAGGGGGGAGGGGGGGGGGGGAGTTTGTACATCGAGAATATGCCAATGTATTTTATATATTAAATGTAGTCAGTTAGTCGTAATAAAACTTGGTTCCGTTGTAATTCTAATGAAACCGTTTAAATTTGAAATCTAACTATTAAGATATGAATCTATCGTGTTTTGGTCATTAAAATTTAAATGCCACATTATCTCAGGAGTAGTAAAAGAAAAAGAAATTATTAGTAAGAACGTAATAAAAGAACAAATATGTATGTCAATGTAGATGTTTTATCATTGAGCGACTGAGATTCTTACATTTCGTCCAAATTAAGTATAATCAAATGTAATGGATTATAAAAATATAATCTCAAACCATAAAGGAATGTTTTTATTTTTATATTATAAATAACTTTATACAAATTTTTTGGCGATTATGCACAATCAGTGTCGAATTTTTTATCACATAAGTTAGAAACAGATTATTTACTTTTCACCTTGTTTGATATACATAAATACATAAATAAATCTCTGTAAATTAAATCTAAATTGAAAAGGAAAAAATAAATTGATCATAATAAGCGTAACTAATTTATCTACAATGTTAAATATTGTTAGATGAGCGGCAATTAAATTCAGAGAAAAACTTTAATTACATTTACAAGGCCGTGTAAATATAGTATATGGGTGAAACGCATCTTTGATTTGGCTAAACTTACCTGTTATAAATTATAACTTATCTGTATTAGCTATGAATTCTAATATACTAGATGAATGCCTTCAGTCTATTATTATTATTATTATTATTATTATTATTATTATTTATATGAATCGGCTATTCGCGAGTATGGCTCTTAAGAATTTCATGCCGACTCTTTGTTAAAAGAATAGTTTTTCAGTAATGGCGTATAATCACGAAGAAAACAAATTAATGTTCATTAAAACGTGTTGTTAATTAAAACTATTACAATTCAAGTGTACACTAGCATTTTCATCCCTTAATTTAGTAAATTTTTTTTTCCGAATATTATTATTCAAGAAACAGTCGATATTTATATCAGATGGTATTTATACGATTTTTATTGTAAAATATACGTAAGTAAGTATTGTAACATACGTAAGTAATTCAACAATCGTTCAATAATCAAAAACTCATTTTTGATAACTTTATAATAAAACAAAATCTAATCAATGATTTGATAATTCAGTGCAATAATAAATTGAATGTAATAATAATTTTATAAATGTCAGTAATTAGAAATTGCTTGCATCTTACATATTCATGTAAATTACGTTTTTTTTCCCATTTCTTAATTGCAAAAATTTTTATAAGCATAAAAATTCATCATTTTAACATTTATATTTAAATATATTAAAAATATCGTGTTTTTTTTTTTTTTTTTTTTTGTATTGTCACAATTGAGTTTTCAAAATTATTTAAAGAGGAAAAAATAAAAATAGACGATAGAATTTTATTAATATTTTATCTGTTCTCCATAAAGGTAAAATAGCAAATATTTATTTTTTGTTACACAATTATGTTCCATAAAATTTTCGAATTTTAATGAATTAATGTATCTTGTAAAATTCTGAAGATGTTGATGTTCTTTTTATATATTATAAAAACTATAATAGATTTAATTGATTTTCTATCTTAATGATTGTATTGTCAAATTTAAGTTGTATTTTCTATTATTGTCAAATGTAATATAAAATAATTACGTTTATCAGTACATTAATCAATATGTAAATAATACGTTTTTTTTCTTTTAAATTTATTCTCTTGTCCTTTTTAAAATAGGCTTTTAAAATCAATGTTTTTAGATTAATTTTGTATACTTAAAAATAGAAATATCTAAAATGAATGAAATGACGGTAATAGTTAGTAATTAATAAAAATAATTTACTTGATAAGTATCAAGTGCTGATATAAAACATAAATAAAATATTATTTAATTAACTTACTTTATGATTAATAGATTCACATATATTTTTGTATTCCTTTATACATATATATAAATAAGTTGTAAATAAAGTCAAGAAATGTAACCACGGTGAGTGTGCATATAAGTATTAATAATACTATATTCGTATTAGCAGAAGACCAATTCATAAATTTTATTAAACCTTAAATTAAAATAAAATATTAAGTATGAATAACAATTTTTTAAAATATTTCACAAAAATAACAATAAATCAAAATTTGTGTTTTTATCGTTTCAAAAATTTTATTTTTATTATATATTAATTATCGATTATCGCTAGTTTGTGACAAATATACAATCAAGAGATTTATGTTTCATGATAATCACGAAAAACAGACTTTCATATTGTTGGCTGTGATTCGTGATTTTTCTCTTTACCTATTTAATTTTATTTTTTCTATTCTATAGATTTGCAAAGATCAATTTGTAATTACCAATAAATTATTGCTTAACTCTTCCGTACATCATTATATATTTACAGTTATTCTGTCAATTTAAAAAGTAATAAAACAATGCATATTTAATACTAACTATTGTCGTTATCATCGTTGTAGTTAAGAGAAATTGCTTTATCGGATGTCACCGAATCATTTTCGTATAAAACCTCTTCCTTCGTTATTAACGCAACGTCGTTAGAGCCATAGTAATTGCCAATGTCTTCTTTATAATTCTGGTCACTTTCTAATAAATCTTTGTTTATTATTTTATCATTTACTTCATGTCCACGAGTTTCAATCACAGATTTATCCTCATTCTTACTATCGTAGTGTGCATGTGACAAAACAAGACGTTTCGTCAAATTATGATAATTATCATAACAAGCTTTACAATCTGAAGAATTTTTTAAACATATTTAATGTATGAAGTAGTACAAATAAACGATAAAATAACAAGAGAAATTAAAATAATTCTTTGTTGGAATTTTATACGAAATATTGTAATACAATAAAATATATATTTTTATCATATAATAAATATTACTAGCACCTGGAAAATTATCTGTAATCACTTTTTTATCTTCATAACTAGTTAATTCATACGCATTTTTTTCATTAAACAAAATATTCTTACATATATCACTTTGAAAGCAATGTATATAACTGTAAATTTAGTAACAAATTATTAACCTACATTCACCTAAGTAGTGGAATAATAAACAATAACAAAAATAATAGCTCGCACGAAAAATGCGTAAAATTATTTTTGTTTTTAACTACGTAATAAACAAATTATTAAAAAAAAACATTAGTACAAATTAATTTAATTAATGAATAATCGTGTATTTACTTCAGTTGGGTGAAATTACAATAATCAACGATTGATGCATGAGGTTCTTTTGTGCCAAAGATATGGCGCAAATTTAATTTTTGAGTTAAAAACGATTTGGTAATAAAAATATTAGATGTCCATGGTTGAAATTTTTCATAAAACTAATTCATTTATCATTAAAATTTTATTCAATATTAATATTCAATTAGCAATTATTTAAAGCCATACCAAATGTTTCTGATTATAATTAACAATATGAGAATCTTGAGCAATGTATGGAACCCCTTTAATATTATATCTTGTCGTTAGTAAATTATTGCAATCGACAGGAAGTTCTAAATTTAAAAAAATGTTTCTATGAATATACAAATAAATTTGTTCCATTATATAATTTACCATTGATTATGTGTTTGATACCGATTTGTTTCTGATAATCAAATGATGTTGTATAATCATTTATTATAGGTTGAATATTGTCTATTTTGTATGACATATATTTATGAGAATGTACATTTGAACTCAAATTTGAACATAAATTTGAATTCTTCCAAATATTTAGATTACATGATTCAATTCTTTTCAGCTTAAAACAACTAGTAGGTACTTTATTTAATTGTTTCAATTTTTCTAGAAACTAAATTTGATAAAAGAAAAATGTTTCACCACGTATAAATAAATATATATATATATATATAAAACTTAAACAATGCCTTAAAAGGAGTTAAAAGCCAATTATTAATACTACTTACAGCTATAACATTAACATTATCAATGTTAAAAAAGTTATATTCATATAAATTGAGTGATTTTGACCAACAATTATCTTCATTATTAATTTGTTTCATGTCAAATCCAAATTCCTGTATTCAGATCAAATAATTATATGGTTCTTGAGGTATTTAATGAATTACGTAATAAAAAAAAATAATAAAAAAAAATACAAATATAGACATAGCCTATTATATTTGACATGTTGTTTGAACTCAATATGTCAAATAGGTAACTGAAGTTATTTAACATTCACTAATATGAAGTTTCTATGGATTAAATAAAAAAACAAAATAAATTTATATTTAAATATATTATCTTAGCTTTATTGCAATGAGAGAATATTTTAATAATAATTAATAATACTGTATTATTGTATATTTACAATTTCAATTTTCAATTATAAGTAATTTTTTTATAGGTAAATTTTTACTCTCTACTCAAATATCCGTATCAATTTTTATTTTTACAAATAATGAAGATGGAAATAATAAGTAGAATATGGGAAGTTCAAGTCGGATGTTTTTGCAAGTATTTTCTTGTAATGACATCGGATACCAAATTTTCCTCAAGAATGAACTGCTTATTAATACACCCTATAACTGGACACCTATTAATAAAATAAATAAATAAACTTAATTGTTGTTATAAATAAATAAATAAATAAATAAATAAATAAATAAACTTAACATTGTAATAGTGTTCTAAGAATTTATAAGACCTACCTTGTATCTTTTTTGATCTGTAGAATATAAATAGTACTTTCACGATCGTAGACATGACCACAAATTTTATTTTTAACCGGATCGATCATACGTTTCTTTGTAAATGGATCGATAATATTAATATCATTTTCTGTTATTTGTATATCATCGTCGTTCAATTGATTATGTATTACATCATCCTCGGCTGTTATCAGTAACGACATAATTAATAATAAATTTAATTGATAGTTTACAATTATATTTGCATAATAATACTAGCTCACCTTTGATTAATTCTTCTACTTCGTTAAAATATTGTTTTAGTTTTTGATGATTTGTTATGTCCGGTTTATATGCAAGCATTTTATTACGTTGTTTCTAGATTTTCATGAACAGTAAATTCTTATGAACGTACGAATTAAATTATATTATTTTTTAAATAATTAAAAATTTTCACCTACCTTAAATTCCTTCATCGTGTGATCTGTATCACTATTATCGATATCAACGACTAAATCCTTTATTGTTTCATTAAGTTTTATTATTCGTTGATCACAGATACAGTTATTAGTAACAATTTCTTTTAAATCTTTTAAGATATTATCTCTCTCATCTTTGTCTATTAAATAATAAAACTAATGTTTATTGTTTCGTCTCATAACCTAAAAAATTTCAAAACTTACCAAAATGAGTAATGATATTCGATGCTGTTTTACAGAAATGCCTATATAATACCTCTGGATTATTGATTTTAGCCATTCTTACTTTTAGAAATTTGTTAAATAACTAATTTAATTTCTGTACACATTCACATATTTATTCCATAAATATTTACTTTAGCACTCTACAGATTAATCACAACAACTTATGTGACACATGGAACACTGAATAACATTGGCTAATACTCCACGTTCGCTTGGTTAATTATTCTCATTTATTAGGTTAAAATAAAAGAATTTAAAAAAAATTAATGCAAAAATAAATAAACAAAATTATTAATTAACTTTGAAATGTAACAAGAACTTGGTGTATGACTGGGACTTTTTGAATTGTTTGCAAATTATGACGTGTCACTTACCCGATAATGTGACAAGGAAATATTCGAATGAACGGAATAAGCTTGAGAACTTTCACGGTCGGTTAGGAAAAGAATAATAAAAACTATTTCTACACCTCCATTCCTCTTTGTCTTATATATATATATATATATATATATATATATATATATATATGTAAACCCATAAATTACTGTAACGGAAATTTCTAATCAGAAGTATTTCTTTTTTTCAAATCGAAACTTTTTAAAATCATTTTGTATGAGTCTGTGAAGGTTTATAAAAGCTACAAAGCAAAGGGACAAAATTGTATGTTTTATAAGTTTTTAAAAATACAAATACCTAATATCTACGTAGTTTTATAAAGTGAAAATACCGGTGAGAACAAAGTCATTATCTAGTATTTATATTCGTTGATACATTCTGTACGCACGCACTTCCATATTTGTAATTTATCTATGTGGCACGTGCATAGTTAAGAATCCAATTTGTGCAAATGACTAGCCGCTTGCTTTTAAAATTTCTTAAACTTCAGCTTTTATTTGCAAGCAAATTTGACATTTACAAGGTAAACGAAATAATAACACATTTATGAAATTAATAGTATGCGTTAACTATGAAAGTAGAAAGGGCAATTTTTCTAAACTCACGGGATCATCGTCACTGTCCTCTTTGTTTCAAGACACATTAGATTCATTAGAAATACCATAGAAATAAAGTTAAAACAAAATTAAAAATATTGTATCTCATTGTAATTGATAATCTTTTACGAAATTACCTTACAATGTATTATTAAAATATATTAGGAAAATTTAAGGCAATTAATTTATCAATATATATTAGATATTTTGATACTTTTTATTATTTATATATATATATATATATATATAAAATTGTCGTTCTTGTTGAAAATTTTCTAAGATCAATGGATAACGTAGGTAGTCATATTTATATTCAGATTCACGTTGGAAATTAGCCGAAAGCAAATGACATTTGGACACAAAACAAGATATTACTTTTTTCTCTTCGTCTTACACCTTGTGTGAGCTATTTATGAGAAAGAGAATAACGAGTTTAACGACTATTGCTCCTTTTTCCCCAGTTTTCTGCAATTACCACCTATAGAATAATGCAATGTAACACATGTGCCCATGATTTATACCCATCTTTGTTAAAACTACAGACAACACAGCGATTTGGCCGTGAAAAATGTCCCTTACCGTATTCATTTTCTAAAGTGACGATTGTTCTCCCCAGGTATACAGCCCAATGCTCAATTTCTTGGCATTGATAAATAATCCTACAATTGTTGCAAAATCAGACACAATCATTAAGTAATGAATAGAAAATTATCTTCATACAAACTGCATCAAGATAAAATACATACTTATAGGCTTGTATTTCTAATTGGTATTTTTCTTATGATGAAGTCTATGAATTTCTTTAATCATTTTTAACTTAACAACTAATTATTAATTAATAATTGCTTATTTTACTAATTATTATTCGCCAATAATGGCAAAGTAGCGACGATGAATACAAATTTAAATGTAAATGATGCATCTGAAAAATAAATAAACTATGCTTGAGTGTATATTTTTAGAACAATTTTATTTTAAATCTATGAAAGGGACATCGTGAAATATATCAATTATTCCCATTACAAAATATGTTCAAAAACGCAAGCTATTAAAGTAATCATAGAAATATATAATTTTCATAGTGAATTATTTTTGTTTTTTTTTTTTTGTTTTTGTTTTGTTTTAATATTCGATTGAAAGAGAAATTATATTATAACAAGATAATCTTAAATTTCATACCATATTGTCATGTCTATATTTCTTACTTTACTCATCGTACATAAATTAATTTCTTGCGACATAATTCTCTAAATAATTAAATTCCTATGATAATATCGTATGGTTATTAAAAATAAATAATATTCTTCCTTAACAATAGAGACAAATTAAATATTGTATTAACTCATTGAGCGATTGCATCAATCTTTCATACATTTTGATTATTATGCCACAATATTATGCTAAATATTAAATAAATAAATAATATCTGTGAACGTAAAAGGCGACGAGGTTGGATGTTACCCTTGAAATTTCGTAAAAACAAATAATCTTCAAACCTGGGGGGCTTACGCTTGGGTAATGGTTTCTTCTAGAAATATTGAATGTGGGCGGAGAAAATTGTCAACGATAGGTTGTATTGCGTTTTGGAAAATGTCCCACCGTTTCCGTGCTCTGGCCTTTTACGTCTCCACAAATGCCAGTATAAATCATGAATACGTATGTGAGACTGTAATATCTTCTAAAGAGAAACATGACAAACGAAGTACCGACACTTTTTAAGGAATAGCGTCTCAAACTAAAATCGTAGTACAGTTTATTATATTATATGTTATTTGTTTATTATATTATTATTATTGTATATTATTGTAATATTTCATTCGTTATACTATATGTAATTTATTCGTTCGGTTTTATTAATTTTCTATTCCTTCTATTGTTTATCGTTGAAATCTTTTTAATTATATATAAATTATAAGAAAAGCTTTATCATCGGTACTACTCGTTTACATGCCCATATTTGGATTTTTAAGATATTTCATGATGATTGAATAACAATACTCATGTTTTTAAAACTCTTGTATAATAATAAAAATCAATTTCTACAAATATAAATCGGTCATTGGATAAATATTAAAAATAGCTTATAATTAAGATCACCTATTCTTAAAAAAAATTGCAATCTAATTATAAAGTTCTAATTATAAATACGTTTTAAGTAAAATTATATTAATCTTAAAAAATAAATGAATAAAAATTACTAGTTGAATAATATAATACAAGACTGCTTTCGTAAAATTTTAAACAAAAATGTAGTAATATCCATGGATCTTGATTTTTGAGCAGAATAACAAATATTACTAATAATAGCATAGATAACATAAGAATAAAATCTTTCTGTATAAAAGTTTTTTATAATATCATTTGTTAAGTCCTCTCATTATTATCATATCACAATGATTTGCCCTATTAAATTTTATTAAATTAAACTATTAATTGTACCCACTCACTGTACGCAGTTCATTCTTTTTAAATAAGTTTATAAAGGCAAAAGTCGTTTTTTTTTTTTTTGTTTTGTTAATTTAATTATTTCTATGTACATTCGTTCGTATATGTAGTATAATGTAATTGTATTGTACAATGAGGCTGTATTTAAAATGAAAATTAAATAAATTCCTAATTCAGCTCAAATAATATCATGAGATACATATAAGGTAAGATAATTTTATGTGATATTAATTAAAGAAAGGATCATTTGTGTAATAAAAATTAGCCTATCATTATTCCATTTATGTATTAATCTCAGGCACATTGAATTGCTACTGGAAGTGATTAAAAGCAATAATTTAATGCCAAGAAATGTAATTGACGTAATGATTATAATGTACATAAATTGAGAAATAAATATATTTTATTATAATTATTTAAATATTTGAACAAAAATTTTTGTATTGATTATATTACATTACTCTATTATAGTTTCAAATTTTAACAAACCAATTGCTTTTCTGCAAAATTTTTTTCCATATAATCGTAAAAATTCGTTAATATCAATCTATTTTAACATTATTTACAATAAGTCGTAAATGAATAAGTCATAAGTTGATGATTTATAATTGTGAAAGCGTGATTCAATCAAATAGTTTATGGCATTATCGCAAGAAATTCGTTGCTTCATATTGCATGATACGTCCTTATTTTCGTAGGCTCAAAAGCAATTTCTATTACCTGAGATTTTGCACCCTACCGATCAAGTATGCCTATCAGTTAAGAAACATTGTCCTCTACCTCTACCTACTTTTCCATCCCATTTCTTCAAAAACCCACACGCCTACGCCCAAACGCACGCGCCTTTTTGTCTATATATTGTAAATATATTTTCTTTATAACTATGAATTTACTGAAAAATTATATAAATATTTTGCACTTTTCTCCTTCCTGTATTTGTTATTGAATAAATAATCGATAATGGAAAAAAAAAAAAAAAAAAAAAAAAAAAAAAAAATGAACATTAATTGCAATTAGTTACAATGGAAACGATGAAAATAATTTTCATTTCGTGTGTAATACGATTCGACCACTGCGAACAATGATTTATTAAATGGATATCTTTATGCATTGAAAAAGTAATGATTTGTCGCGATTGTTCGCATTAGCAGAAATAACATTTACTTTAAATAGAAATTATGTCGATTTTATTAGAAATGGTATTATTATTAAAGCGATTCTTGTAAGTCTAATTAATTACTTGAATTTATATTGAATGTTAAAAGCTGGTGATCTTGGTAATGCATTAATTGCATTTGAAATGACATTTAGATTAATTATGAAATTCAAAATAATACTTTTATTTATAATTTTATGTTGATTGTAAGTATTCGTAATAAATGAGATGTTTATGCATTGGTATAATATAGAAAAATCAGAAATTAAAATTACTTCTTGCTGTAAATCCCAGGCAGGTATTTAATTTTCGTAGAACGTACATAAGGCGGAAAATGAGAAAAATTCATGACCTTTAACAGAACGTATTTTCCTTATTCTTTTATTGTATACAGTGGGTATATAGCAAATATATAATCAAACATTACGTTATTTAAATACTCTACCAAATACAAAAAATACACGATATATGCATAATTAATAATATTAGGTAATATAAAATTATTTTACACGATTCTTGCACGATTCTTGCACGATTATTAAGATTCTCGTTACCATACGAACGATGAATATCGATTTGTTTTTATTGTAAAAATTTTATCGTTACCCGTTTATAATATAAGACGTTATCGCATACAAGATGAATGTACGTAGTTTTTTTGTTTTTGTTTTTGTGTTTTTTTTTTTTGCGAGAATTTAACACTCGTTGGTAAAGTTTATTAAGAATTGATTATTGATTAATTACTAATATGATGAGGTTGGGCCTGAAATTATACATTAAAATTAATCAAATTCAGCAATGAAAATGTAGATTAATAGTGAACCTAAGTTTCATAAATAAATTATAAAGTATATCGTTCGGTCCGGCACTTTATCTATATTTGAATATTTCATTGACGGAACGCAAATGCCATAAAGAATTTCTGTATTTATGTATTTTATCAGTATTAAATTGTATTCTTTAATATTCCGTTAATAATTTATTAATCTAAATAGTGTGAATAATATTGAAATATTGAAAAGCAATATTCAATATTCAAATCAAGAAAATACAATTATTCCCCTTGGTAATTATATTCTTTTTAATAATATTTCCAATAGAATGACGATTTTTCCCGTTATTTTAAGTCTTGCGAACGAAGCAATCTTGTATTTCTTGAGACTCTCTATATATTTAAATTTCCATTGTTCGTATTCGTGTAAACTTTATGACATCTAATGAGAAGTGAGATATTTCCATGTAATGTCTCCCCATTACGCACATCTTCCCCATATGACCTGAGACTATATGATACAACCATCGTTACATTATGAATATAATTCCGAAAACCCTTATTTCTGGTGGTGTTTCCTAAGGTCAGAATTTAAATTTCAATACTTTCTATGAGAACTACCCCCTCTATACGAGTTGTCCACCTATATATACGGGATTGCAAATCGATCTTTAAACTTAGTTTATCTTCATCCTTCTGTGATAGTCCTTTTATTCAAGTTGTCTCTACGAAACGTTTGTCGATTTTCATTTGAGTAAGATTATATTATTTGGTCTCGACTTTTAGCAAGTGTATACGTGACAATCGGTGCATAAAAATTATAATCTATCAATGGATCCAAAGTGCATTGACGAGCAAAATCAACACGAGACTCCACTAAACACGTAAGTGAATAATAATCTATTATTAAAGAAAAAGAAAAAGAAATAAAAATTAAAAAAAAAAGCAAGTCAAGTAATATCATTGGAATCATACAAATATAAATAATAGTTCTATTATTTGAAAATTTAGATTTACTGATAAAGACATACGAAACATCGAAGATAGCGGCAAAGTCACACCGGCCCGTTTTCATGTTCAAGCTGAAAGGGAAGAAGATGAAACTGAACAACAAGAAATTGAAGTGATTTTCAATAATAATAAAGATTTTCACACAATCGAGATTGTCGGGGATCCCGATTCAGGTACTACTTTAACCAATACTTTTCTTCTTTACAGCTAATATTTTAAACTGTAGATATAACGATAATCATATATAATCCTCTATAAAAATTATTTCTACCATTTTTAGTGAAAGTATTAGATTTCAAACTTCTGCGCTCCGTGTCTCCCAAGGATTTCCAATGTAATTCGCCATTCTCGAGTCCGGAGAGGCATCGCTCTGGCTTTTCAAGCCCCGAGAGGCACTGGTTTCCTCGATCAAGTTCGGAAGGCTATCGTTCTGCTTTTTCAAGCGCTGAAGATTATAGCTCCAGTTCCGCAAGCTCAAGTCCCCAAAGGCACCGCTCTGAACTATTAAATCTTCAAAATTTCTGCAACATAAATAATCCTACATGGTTGTACTAAACCAATGTAATCGTGTCAAGGTGAGTGAACATTTCATTAAAAAACATTTTATGTATTATGATTAGTCATTTAATTTAATAGTAATTGAATTTTCAAGCTAAATAATGTTTGATTTTAATCATAAAAGCCTAATTTATATAAAATACAATTTAAGTTTAATGTTAAATGTACCGTACATTTTAACAATTATCTTAATATTATTTTAATATATTAATTATTTATTTAATGTAACTAACTATCTGTAAACATATACTTCATTTATAAACTTTATTAATAACTATTTTCGAGCAAGCTTTTCTTGTAAATAAAAATATTTTTTATTTTTATATAGATAACAACTGAAATAATTGGCATTAGAAAATAAAAAAAATTGTAAACTATTTTCTATCTCTTTTTTTCTTCATAATTTCAAAGACTAGTAAATAGATTTTATAATATAAAAGGCTATTAAAGGCAAGTAAATAAAATATTGGCGTTTTATGTGAATATTTGAATTTTGTTTTCATTAGTTAATTAAGCTATCTACCTTTATATATATATATATATATATATATATATATATTTTAATTTTTCGTACACTTGTTTGTATTTATCGAGTATTTAAAATTTTTATTACAGCCAAGATCCAGTACAAAGCGAGATGGAGTATAAACCAGAAAGAAGGAGTTTGGCGGAAGAACGACGCTTTCGTTTTCCCTAATCGAAACGAGTACCATCACGCTAACCCATATTTTATGGAGAATTTTTTAAGAATTACGATTAATCTATAATACAAAAGGATATATCGCAATGTTTTACATCTGGGCGGGTGAATCTAAAGTATTACATTCCTACGGTGGGCTTAATAATTTACCAAACAAAATTACTAAATCCGGGGTAAATAAAGATTTTAATTTTAATTGTGAAGTTAAACATTTTAAATAACAATAGACTACTAGTACTTTCTATAATATATTGGATACTAAAAGCCATTCGACATTCCAATTAAATATTCAATTACGGTAAAATTTATATCAACAAATATTTATGTTTTAGGATGTCTGATATTAAGACATGACATTCGAAGTATTTCTTATGCTAGTGCAGTAACAGTTCCTATATTATAAGCTCATATATTTTATAGAATATATAAATTTTGTAGTTGCTTATGTTGCAGAATAGCCTTCGATTTTTCTTTTATCATAGAATTATTAGACTTGTAAGTCATCATTGATAATTTCCAATGTGACAAGGAATTGAAGGTACGCCATACTACGATATTCATTAATATTTTTGTAAACCAAATGCGGTTTAGAAAAAGAATATGTAAATGGCATAAACTGTGATTATGTATATATTAATGCAACGAATCATAATATCATTAGACGTAAATTAACGGCTACTAAATCAATTAATTTAGGCATACTTAATATTTTAATTTTAAGAATATTTTAAGAATTTTCCGAATTTCATTTAACGAAATATATATATATATATATATATATATATATATTTTTTTTTTTACAACATGTCATCTGTCCTTTCATTGTACTGAATTCAATGATATCTAAAGTCACGAGTTCAGAAAATTCACAAACTATCTGTAGAATAAATGCAATCCAAAACAATATCCTAAACATATTAATTAAACCCGACAACCTAACTGGCAATCCTAACATGTCTATTACATTTCTCATCCATATGAAATAATAACAAACAAATAATAAATCTTAACTCAATTGTCAAAACATGTAAGAAAGCAATATTCATTTAATAAAATTATTTAACCATTAAAAAATGTTTATCTTTTAATTTCTTCTCCATTATTTCTTTTTAATACATTATTATTGGAAAGTCTTAGCTAGTAAAATTTAATATAGACAAAAATCATATGGATTAAATGATGTTTAAAACTAAAAATATCCTGATCAGTGATAAAATGATTTAATAACCTTTGAATCGAAACGATAATAGTTATTTCATCGTCGAAGGCTAAACTTCGGTACTTAATAGAAGTAAATAAAAGTAATGTAATAGATAAATTTCAAATCAATATTATTGCTTATATCAGTATGGGTAAAAGATGTTCTTAATAATATATTAAAATGTATTACAAATTTATCGTATGACTTATTTTATACTAAAGAATTTCACTACAAACTAAGAAAATTTAAGACTTTCAAGGAGTAATTTATTTTAAAATCTTGCTTTGTAACCAATATATATATATATATATATTTCAAAAATTTAATAGTAAATTCCAAATTTCTAATTTAATTGTTTTCGACATTGAAAACAATCATAAAAGTAAAAAAAAAAATGATATTACACCTTATCCTTAATTTACTCCGTAGATTTTAGTAAAATTATGTTCGTAAAACCCAAGTTATTCAAGAAGTTAGGTACCGCAATACCGTAACGTTCACCTCATTCCTGAAGCAAGACGGTTATAGCGTAATTTGAGCCACTTCGAGTCACGTCGCAATACGACAAATATTCACTGATTTATTATGTAATTTATTAGGTAATCAAACTTCTTTTAAAGACTTAACGGAAATATTTAATATAATGTTTAAAAAAATTAGATCGATTACGTGTAAAACGATGAAAATATATTAATTAAATAAATTTTAAAAATTACATAAAATTATTTCTTGTATTCGTCTAATCAATTATTTATATTCAATTGCCATTTCCCATATCAACCATTAATTTTTTATAATATAATTTATTATTCATATATCTATATTTTTAATATTGAAATATTCACGTTTATATATGTTCTAATTTAATTAATTATAATATTATTAAATTTGCTTTCTCTCTCTCTCTCTCTCTCTCTCTCTCTCTCTCTCTCTCTCTCTCGATCTGACAACGGACTCTCAATCTGATTCACGTTATCTTATTAAGTACAATATAAAATTTATTTTACATTTTCAGTATTTCAAGAATTTTAACAAATTTTGATCTTTAATTTTATTCATATCGTCGCTTCAACTTTTTTTTACAAAGTATTATTTAATTACCAAAAACTATATATGTACATATAATAATTATAATATATAATAATTCTAAGTACGTATTTTATCCAAATTAAACTAAGATAGTTAAACTTAATTTACATATCATACAAAGAATAAACAATCGTAAAAAGATACTTTATAAATTTCGTAAACAATAGCGTTTAATTAAACACAGCTAACATTCGACCTGCTCGGTATTACTTTTAAAAATATAGAATAAAACATTAATTATAATGCTTGAAGTTCACTTAGTTCTTAAAATAGCGACAACAAACAAAAATCAGCCAATGCCAACTGAGGTTCATCAAAAAGATGAATGGTGGTTGCATTTTCCTCAAATAATGCATCTTTTTTTTTTTTTTTTTTTTTTTTTTTTTTTTGCACTGACAACAAATAAATTATGATTCCAATAGAATTGATGAAAAAAAATGGTAGTTTAGTAGCAAACGTTTACGTTTAGTATCAAAAATCGATTTACTTCGGAGATTGACAATTCATATTTCAAAATGGATGATCAAACGATATGTTGGCAGATTGTGATTGGCTAGTAATGGCGAACTTCATCACTTTGATAATTGTCTAATAATTAATAATAAAATAACTCATACTATATGTTTTAAATATCCTATTGAGAATTTATATCGTTTTTTAATGGACGTTGAAAAAGATATTTACAATAATATTATAACTATTATTTACAACAACACTGTAACAATATTGACATTAATTTTGATGTTAAAATCAATAGTTCTAATTTAATATATGACAAACAACATAAGATTATACGATTATAGGAATTATAAAAATTTATTATATTATTATAATAAGTTATAATTAATTATATTTGGAATATTTATTCAATAAATAAGTAAAAATATTGATAGGTTAATTGAATTTAAAAAAAAATTCTTGATTTTACCGATCATCTAACAAGAATACTACATAAACACATAAAAAATTAAAAATTTTAAAAATATAAGATATCAACTAATCAGAGTACTAATCTAAATATAAATTATGATAATGTAACAACGGTAGATGTACTGTAGCGAAAGGAATTAAATGAATAATACGTTTTTCCTTTAGTCTAATACAAAATAAACTAGTTAATTTACTCAAAATATATTTTGACGATATTTATTATGAAAATCCATATGATTCGGAATAATAAAATACGATCTAGGAAAAATATTCGAACTCTTTATGTGAGTAATTATAGGAAAAATGATCCATGTAAAAATATTATCTGAACATTATTTTTAAGAACTTAAAATCCAATAATGTCGTATATATACGATTTATATAATTATTCAGACTTTTTATATATATATATATATATATAGAAAATTTATTACTGAATCATAAGAAAAACTCTAAAAATGAGCTTATTCGGCACAAAGATGTTTAAAAGATTGATGAACTTAATACTTTTTTAGAAAAATCATTATCGAATCATTGACTCACAGCTTTTATCTCCGTAAAAATTTTACTCACTTCACTTATCTGTATTTTCTCACACAACTAGCTTACAAAAAGCAAGTATTATCAAATTATGTAAAATATCAATACTATTTAACTGGAATCCTGTTTCTATTTCTAACATTTCAATTATTAATACATTTAAGCTAATTATTTTCTTTTAATTTTTTTTTTTTTTTTTTAATTAAAAATACCGTACGTTATTTTAGGATTTTAATCGTGTTTCGAGGGAGTAGAAAATTTAACAGAATAGCGACTATAAGGATTAACGAACCACTACAAAATTATCTTTAGAATAATTAGAAAAGAGAGAGAGAGAGAGAGAGAGAGAAAGAGTTAACTAAATACGAGTATCAATAAAGAAAATGAAGACAAAGGTAATATTAAAAAAGAATTAAAATAATGGTTAATAATCGTTTTTACCAGTGAAAATTCGTGTTATTTTTAAATGACAAAAGTAGAAAGGGATATTTTCATTATATAAGCAAAGAAATATCCAGTCAACGTTAATTAAAATTTATTATTGATATTTT